AGGCTGGGCTATGATGCTCGCCAGCTCCTTGAGTACCCTGGGGTGAAGATTGTCAGGGCCAGCTGACTTGAAGGTATCCAGCTTCTCAAGATGTTCCTTCAGAAAGTCAGCATTAAGGGAGGGCAGGGGATCACCCTCACCCGGACTTCCCGGCCCTGTAGTGGGCATGGGCGTCCCATGGGACTGATGAAAGACTGACGCAAAGTACCTATTTAATAGGTTGGCTTTTTCCTGGGCGTCAGTTGTCAGTTGCCCCATCTGGTTCATTAATGAAGAGGTTGAACAAAACAGATCCAAGGACAGAGCCTTGAGGGACCCCACTGGTCACAGGGCACCATGATGATTGACTTCCGTCAACCACCACCTTCTGGGGCCACCCCCGGAGCCAATTCCCCAGCCAGTGGATCATGGTGGACCTGAGGCTGCAGTTGGCCAGTTTTGCCAAAAGGTGATTATGGGATACCAGATCGAAGGCTTTTTTAAAGTCAAGATATATGACATCAATCTCTTCCCCCTTGTCCAGGGGATAGGTCACCTGGTCATACAAGGAAATGAGATTGGTCAAGCATGACCTACCCGCAACAAACCCGTGCTGGCTGTCCCTCAGGGTGTTGCCATCGGCCAGTCTGTTAAGGATGGCCTCCTTGATGATTTTTTCTAAGACCTTCCCCAAGATAGAGGTCAGGCTGATGGGCCTATAGTTTGCCGGAACCACTTTCCTCCCTTTCTTGAAGATAGGCACCACATTGGCCTTCTTCCCATCGGACACTTTACCAGAGCACCAGAAGCTCTTGAAGATCCATGCCAGGGGCTGAGCTATGATGCTAGCCAGCTCCTTGAGTACTCTGGGGTGTAAATTAGCATGGGGTGGGCAAAATGCAGCCCGGGGCCAGATGCAGCCCACCAAGCTATTCTATCCGGCCTGTAGGGCCCCTAAAAAGTTTAGAAAATTAATATTTATCTGCCCTTGATAGCTTGCCAAAACTCAGTAAGTGACCCTCCACCCAAAATAATTGCCCGCTTCTGAATTAGCAGCATGGGGCCCCTTGCTTAAAGCAGTCAGGGCAGGATGATTCAATAGACCCCCATACCTCTCCATCCAAGCACTGATGGGCAAGAAACCTGTCTGGGTTTCTTGCCCATAATGGCCTGGGAGAGAGCTGTGACCACAGGGATAGCCTATAGTGCCTACTGGTCCCCCAGGGGCTGGGGGGCAGGGGGAGCTTAAGGCCAGTGGGTTAGGTCCAGTGACTGCCTTCTGGAGATAGGCTTACACAGAAGGATTTGGGTTGGTGGTACATTGTTGTACCGTTAACTCCCCACCCCACTGGCTGTGGCCACAGCCAGCCTGCTCCCCTCACCCTCTTTCACCTATGGGCTTTGCATTTCCCCCAGTGCCTGGGTCCCTGTCACAGCCATGTGGAGTGGGTTACAGCCATACCATCCTGGGAAGCAGAGCATTGTTGCTTGGTGCCAGAGTTCACAAGAACGGGGAGGAAGACTGGGTGTGGGTACTGTGGATAATGCTGTGGCAGTAGCCACTGCACTGGTAGTCAGGAGTCTGGGGGGTGCTCTATGCATCTGGAATGGGGGCTGCGAGCAAGTGTTGGAGGATTAGGAATGAAACACCCATGGTAGCTGTGTCAGAAACAGTATCCTGGGGGTGCTTCTCCACATCCTTTTTGAATTGTGGAGCCCAAAACTGGATGCAGTACTCCAGCTGCGGCCTCACCAAGGCCAAGTACAATGGGAGAACGACATCCCGGGATTTGCTTGAGAAGCATCTATGGATGCAAGCCAGCATGGTATCAGGGTTTAGGCCCTGGGTCATGATGACTGTGGCATCAGAGCTTTCCACGTGGTCTTGCATGGTCAACCATGCCCAAGATGTTAAGGGAGCTCAGGTCCAGCTGCAGCTGCACCTCCACTCCTAGATCCTGTGCTGATCCAAGGACCAACACCAATGGTCCAGAGTCCTCAGGGATCACCACCAGCAGCAGACCTTGTGCTCCATGACCCCTGGGGACCTGCTTCTGCGCACTTAGTTGTCCCATTGTCCTGGGGCCTTCCTGCACCTCTTCTACAGTTGGATCCCTGTTGGTGATTCCTCCCCTCCCCTGGTGGTGCTATATGTGTGTGGGGTGGTGATAGCCCTGCACATAGTAAGGAAGTAGAACAGCTCCTCATAGAAAGGCATGCTGTGCTTCCTACTCCCAGACTTTTTATTGATGCCATGCTTACATTTGTACTGGATCTTCATCCATTTCATCTTGGCCTTGCACTGTATCCAGTTCTTGATGTAGCCCCACACTTGCATCTGTCGGGCAATGCGCTTGAACACATCCCTGTTGCAGTGCCCTTTGAAAAGCTGGGCCTGCATCTCTGGTTCACCCCAGATGATGACAAGAACCCTCACCTCTCCATGGCTGCAGTAATATAACCAGGGTTGGATAGTGGAGGAGGATGAGATGGGATCTTCCATGATCCCCAGTGGTGTTCATGGGGTCTCAGCATCTGTAGGTGTGTGAGGGTCCAGCTGCAAGGAGGTGGATGGATGGAAGGAATGGTGCAGATCCCAGCACATGACTCTCCCTCTCGTTCTAGCTTGATGTGCCCCCTACTCCAGAGTGACTGGGACTCCACTGGTCAGGCCAACCCCATGACCTCAGATGTTTCTGGGGCTTCCAGCAGATGCTCCCATGATGCTGGCAACACCTTCCACCCTGGCATGGAAATTTCCAGTGTCTACTACCTGCAACATCAAGGCAGCTGGCCATGTCTCACCTACTCCTAAAGTTTCCAAAGTTGTCCGCCTGCTTGCTCCAGCTCGGGTGCTCAGTGCCCCCACTTGCTTGGCCCTAGTACTCTGGGACCCTGTAGCTTCAAGCCAAAAAACCCTTGAGGACCTGAGGTGCACATGGCCCAGGTAGCTGCCAGCAGTGGTCAAGCTGCAGAGGTCATAGGGTTGCCTCCATGGAGGCACAGCCCCCCAAGTGTGGAGGCATGAGGGTCCCTGGTTGGGTATGCAGGTGCCAGGGTCAGGGTCCAAGGGGCCCAGCACAGGGGTTCTCCTGGGCTCATAGTTGAGGTCTGTGTGTATGCTGTGTGGTGCTTCATGATGGGGTGGTAGTGATGAGGGGTCACAACCTGAGGATTAGGGTGCCCAGGTCCTGGGGCTCATGTCGGGGACACAGAAGACATGCTTTCCCCTACTGCCTGCCTGGGCTAGGGAAA